ACACACACACGGACACACAGACAGACACACAGGCACACAGACACACAGACACACACACGGACACACAGACACACAGACACACACACGGACACACAGACACACACACGGACACACAGACACACACACGGACACACAGACACACAGACACACACACGGACACACAGACACACAGACACACACACGGACACACAGACACACACACGGACACACAGACACACACACGGACACACAGACACACAGACACACACACGGACACACAGACACACAGGCACACAGGCACACAGACACACACAGACACACAGACACACAGGCACACACGGACACACAGACACACAGGCACACAGACACACACACGGACACACAGACACACAGGCACACAGGCCCTGGCCCTGCCCCGAGGGGACGGCTGGTGGGAGAGGCACTTGGGCGCGTTCCGGCTCCTCCTGTGCGGAGCGAGGGAGGAGTGTGTGTCTGGAGCGGGAGCAGCATTCCCGGGCGGGAACATGCTTGGGGGGCGGCGCGGAGAGAGGCCTGGGGCCGGAGGGGCCGGGTGGGCGGTCTGGGCTGGTGACGCTGCCTCTGTTCCCCCACCTGCACCAGGAGGGGGCGGCCCCCGAGGTCCCTGCCACCCCGAGGAAGGGGGTCCTGCGCCAGCGAGAATGTTTCGGGCTCAGCATCTCGTGTTCACGTCCCGGGGCGCCCCGTGAATGAGCACAGTATTCGGGTGCGTTTTTCCCTTTCCATCCATTCTGCGGGCAAAGCAAGAAGTCTCTCCCCGCCGCCCCTCCCGGGCCTCCAGGCCGCCTCGCGCCCTCCTCCTCGCCGCACATTCTGGCAGATGGAGAGCTTTCCACAGACGGTCGGTCGGTCGGTCGGCGCCCATGTCAGGGGCTGCGCGCGAAGGCATTCGCAGGAGACCTCGGTTTTCTGGGTTTACTGGGTTTTCTGGGTTTTCTCTGTTTTCTGGGTTTTCTGGGTTTTCTGGGTTTTCTGGGTTTTCTCGGTTTTTCGGGTTTTCTGGGTTTTCTGGGTTTTCTCGGTTTTCTGGGTTTTCTCGGTTTTCTGGGTTTTCTCGGTTTCCCCTCCGAACTAACTGCAGTCCCGCTTGTCTCCAGGGACCCGCCGCTGCCTCCTCCTCCACTCGCCCTGCGCTCCTGCCATGCACGCTGCTCTGGCCTCACTTGTATTTTCCACTTCATCCCTGACACGCGCGCGGGTCTCGGTCACGCGTGGCCACTGGGACATGAGCTAGCGGGGTCTGCAGTGTAGACTCTAAGCCCCGGTCCCCACAGCAGTGTGTCCGGGATCCTAAAGGAAGGAGCAGCGTGGTGACGGCCACAGAGGAGGGCAGGGGGGGAGTGAGGCTTTTCTCAATGCATCTGGTTATGCTGACTTCATTGCTGAACCATTTAAACCCTCCAGTGAAATACAGATAGGGACCTGAACCTGGCTGGGTCTGAAGTGGATACCGTGGCCACCTCGAAAGAACCACGAAGGAAGGTACTCGGCAACGGGGCTCTGGGGATCCCACCTCCGGGGGATGTGCTACGATTAGGAAGAGCTGCCCAGGCGTTTTGAATTTGACCTCATGGGCCTGCGGTTGATCACGTCAAAAGGACAGAGAGCAGCCGCGTCATCAGCAAAGGCGGTTCCTCCAGATCAGACGAGAGGGGCGGCTGCTGCTGCTCTCCTTCCGGGAGAGCCTCGGAGGACTTTCAAAGGAAAGTGGGTTTTATGGACCAAAAGGAAGAAATCTTAAGGCAGTCTTTGACGGATGGGCGTTCTGACAGAATAGAGTTTTCGGAAGCGGGAAGCTTCCTGATTGGCCTTCAGGTGCATCTGACAGTCCTGGTTGGTCGGGCTGGGAGAGTCGCATGGGTTTCCCTGTGTCAACCTAACCAGCATCTGCTCCTTCCTGTGAGACCCACGTCCGGCGTAGCAAGTCCCCAGTAGGGTGCTGGACGTGGCCATCCCCACACTGCTGGGTGTGCCTGTGGGGCAGAGCCGGTGAGGCATCTACGGAGTGTGGGGAGCCGGGAGCTCACCGCTGGGGAAGCGCGACACAAGCACCGCACGGGAGAGCTGGGAAGAACCCTGGGGTTTGCAGTTGGACTGGAGACTCTCCCTGATTTTGCTAAAATGGGATGGAGGTGGCTTGGTGTCTCCAAGCAACTTCCTAGAGAGCAGTGCCCCAGATTTGGTCAAGAATAAACACACTTGTGCAGAAGACAAGAAAAAAAAAATGCACAGGCTTAGAAGGAGAGCTGGTAGAAGAACACAAGGGCAGGTGGGAAAGAGGGGGGACCGGGGATCGGCAATGGTGAGCAGGTGTGATGGGCAGCCAAGGTCCGACCCCAGGGGCAGCTGCTTGGGCCCTGCTGCTTCGTCCGCACCCCATTTTATCTTGTAGAATGTAAGTGGGGGCACTTCCTGGAGCTATAAAGATCCTCATTAATACATGGTCCCTGTCTTCAAAAACAAAGCTAATAGTGTGCTGATGGAGGGCCCCGGCTGTGGAGCCCGACTCACTAAACTAGAGCCTTGGGTCCACTCTCACTGGGGTTAGTCGGCTGCGTTGGCATCACAGCCCACAGCCTGGGTGGCTTCACCAACAGAGATGTATTTTCTCACCGTTCTTGAAGCCAGAGGCTCCAAGATCAAGGTGCCGGCAGGGTTGGTGTCTGGGGGAGCCTCTCTGCTTGGCTTGCAGACAGCCGCCTTTTCGCTGCGTCCTCACCTAGCCTCACCTGTGCACACAGGACAGAGCTCTCAGTGTCGCTCCTCTTACAAGGACACCAGTCCTATTGGATTAGGGCTCCACCTTCTGACCTCATTTAACCTTATGTACCTCCCCCAAGTTCCTGTTTCCACGTACAGCCACGTCAGGGGGTTGGGGCTTAAACATACGAATGTTGAAGGCACACAGTTCAGTCCATAACCCTGTGTGACCCAGGATGGTTAACTAACCTCTCTGGGCCTTAGTTTGCTCCTGTGCAAAATAGATGCATCAGCACCACCAGAGAGGGCTGTGGTAAGGATGTGATGGCCCAGGCACGGAAAGCATTTGGCACCTGGCATAAAGGCACACTGATCAACGGTGTTTGTGACTTAATTCAATACCTGATTTGTGAATTCATCAACGACTTGGCGAGAGTAGAATTAGGAGCACGCATGTAGATGCCTTTTTAGACATTTCAACTTGTTCTTGCGAATCTAGTGGTGAGTCCCACTGGCCCGCCAACGTGTGGGCCACAGAAGGAGCAGCAGAGCTCCCTGGCGGCATCGTGCACCTGGGCCAAGGAGGCTCTCGGGGTGAGTGAGGAGCACGGGCTGCACTGACCTGCTGGAGGGGAGCGTTCTTCCAGGACCGCAGAGATGGCAGCACCGCCCCTCCCTGTCACCGGCCACCGGGGTTCTCCCACACGGACACTCCGAAGCACAGTGTGCGGCCCTTTCTTACCGCACTAACCCAGGGCTGCTCTTCCTGAGGGTGAGGACCAAGAGTGAAGGAGGGTTGCGTCCTGCAGCCTGGCATTTGCAGTGAAAACTCTCGCCCTGGCCGGTGTGGTTCAGTGGACAGAGCATCGGCCTGTGGACCAAAGGATCCCGGGTCAAGGGCTCCTCATCAGCCTGGGCCCTGGTCAGGGCTGGTGCGGGAGGCAGCCAATCGATGTGTTTCTCTCACATTGATGTTTCTCTCCATCTTTCCCTCTCTCTTCTACTCTCTCTAAAAAAAATCTATAGTAATAAAAGTGTAATATGCTAATTAGACTGGACAACCTTACAGATGACCTTCTGGACGAAGCCAGGGCTGCAAGGGAAGCCTGGGTTCCAAGTGCCAGAGGGAAGCCAGTGCCGGCAGCTGGGGGAAGGAAGGCCTATTCTTGCACGAATTTCATGCATCAGGCCTCTAGTAAATAAATAATTAAAAATTAAAAACATTAAAAAAAATAAAAAATAAGCCCAGAGCATCTCCAGTGCAGTCCTGGGGTCTGAATACTGGCAACAGATTAATTTCACAGGACGCTAAGGGGGGAGGGGCCCACCCCTTTCATTTTGCTGGAGTCAGATTCTTGGAAATGTTGATCCTTTGTCTACCTGCTGAGCAACTCCTCTGGCCTTTGCAAGGGGGAAGGAGGCTCTCTCTCGAGGAGGCTTCATGGCGCTGGCATTCGGCATAATGTCTCCCACCTGATGTGCTACTGTGAATCTAAACATGGGCTCTGCCTGCCGAGACCCTGGCGTGCGGGCCTGGCCCGAGGCTGCTCGGTGCCTGTTCCAGATCCCTTCGCTGCCTCCATGGCTTTCCCGGCTTCGCGGTGGGGCCGTGGGAGCGGGGCCTACGCAGCTAATGGAGAAGTCGGCCCTGAAGGAATGACCGAATGGACGCCTCCGTGTCCCGAGTAGTTTTGCAGAGATGGCGGGGAAGCACACCAACTGCATTCCCTGTATTTTACACCAAGCCTATGGGCTAATCTTCTCTCAGGAGACGGGTGGTGATTCCCTCAGTCTGTCATTTCATACTTAAAAAGAAGCTACTCCTGGCTCGGGTTCCAGTAGGACTTAGGCACAGTTGGGGTGGGGGAGGTCAGAGTCATGACCTCAGGGCTCTCCCAGAGCACATGAGTGTGCACCTGTGTGCATGGGCTGCTGTGTGCATGGACACCTGTGTGCATGGGCCCCTTGTGCATGGGCCCCTTGTGCACGGGCCCCTGGGCCTGTGTGTTTGTGTGTGGCCTGGCGGGCAAGTGTAGCTTGATGAGAGCCAGACTCTCACGTTGCTCCCCTGAGCGCCCCTGGGAGGCTTGGACTCCCCAGCACACACACGCTCTTGTGCATGCTAGCGTGTGTCTACAACATGGGCAGCACCTCCATCGTGTGACACCCTGTGCAGGTCACAGTGGGAGCAGCCGCAGGCAGCAGCCCCGCCCAGCTCCCCGAGGGCCCCTGGGGACAGAGAGCACACACTCACACTAAAGCCCCCGCTCTTCCCTCCGCAGGGATGACGTGCCAAGCTCGGAGCTCCTACGTCACCAGCGAGATCCTGTGGGGCTACCGGTTCACCCCGGTCCTGACGCTGGAGGACGGGTTCTACGAAGTTGACTACAACAGCTTCCACGAGACCTATGAGACCAGCACCCCCTCCCTCAGTGCCAAAGAGCTGGCTGAGCTGGCCAGCAGGGCAGAGCTGCCCCTCAGTTGGTCTGTGTCCAGCAAACTCAACCAACATGCGGAACTGGAGACCGAAGAGGAAGAAAAGAACCTCGAGGAGCAAACAGAAAGGAACGGTGATGTGGCCAACCTCGAGAACGAGTCCAAAGTGTAGTCCCCCGGCCGGGCCTCTCCTCCCCAACCTTTCCCCAGGCCAGCCGCCCCTTCTCCTGTCCCCACAACCTGTCCCCTGGCCAGGCCACCCCTTCCCCTGTCCCCCCAACCTCTCCTTGTCTCTCATCCTCCTGCTTTCTGCCTCTCTTACTTTGTTCTTTCTTTATTTGTATTTAATGTTGGCATTACCGGAAAACAAATCTTCAAGGTGTAAAATCTCTGCCTGCCCTCCCTCGGCTCCTCCGATTGCAGAGGTAGACACGGATCTGGTTAAGGTGTAAGGCGCCCTCGTTGATGGCCCAAGCCTGTCTCCTCCCTAAATTCCACACACCCGACTCCCAGAGATTTAAGCTACGTCCCTGCATGTGCTGTACAAGACCAGATCAGTCACAGGAGTGTGGGGAACACGTGACCTGGGATACACATTAGGCCCAGTGCCTGTTCATTCCTGCAGTGAGACACGGAGTGTAGCCCTCACTTTCCTAGATCCCCACACATTTCATCTCCAGGGCAGGTGCTTGCCCCCCAAGGGCATCACAGGTGTAGGACCCAGGTGAGGCAAAGACAAAACACTGTACATATATATGCCTTCTGTAAGTATTTTCTTTGGCAGTTATTAACAAAACCCAGCATGTACAAAAGTACTGTAGAACACAACTTCTAAATAATGTACATAGATATATCATTAGTGTAGGTTTAGATATATAACTTTAGAAATAAGATGAAAGAAACAAGATTCTCACTGTACAGTAGGCATTTCCGTTCCGATGTCTTTTTCTGAATTGCTTTGGTCCCATTGACTGCTGGCCCTTTAGTGCATGGCCTCTGTTCTGTGTCCCAGATTGGCAGCCCATTCAGGTCCCTCACTGTTCCCTCACTGATCCTTTCGTTGAATCTAATAAGCCATAGGTCTGGGGGGAGTTGGGAGGTCCAACAGATGGCAAAACGCACCACCAATACACTGATATACTGTGAAATGTTTACAAACTGAGGCCTCTCGTTTAAGACAACCAGGGCCTCACTGACCAGCCTGGGGAAGAATTCCCTGAGGACATTCTCGGGCTTGTCACCAATGGCATGTTCATGCTTTTCACACGAGCGTTCACCCTTTGTAGTTTGGGACACTCTTCTGAAAAACCACTGATTCTCCAGCGGTTCCATTCCGTAGTCACGAGAAACTACAGACTTTTACAAGGAGACATGGCAGGTGAGCAGAAGATGGTTGGGTCTGGCGTCATGAACTTAAAGGCTCATAGTGTCACTGACCTCACACACTGACTTTATCCTGCACTCTTTCCTGACCCGGGGGCTTATCCATCAGCTTCTTGCATTGTTATTTATTCTATTCTTTTATTATTATGAAATGACCAGAGTTCAACAGTCAAAGATTACACCAACAATCTTGGTGACTACGAAATCTCTCAAAAGTATGCCACAGGTTAGAAATCAAATCCAAAGTGTCTCCCAAGCAAAAGAAAACAAAAAACTACAGCCTTAATTCATTTCAATCTGCAAAGATAAATGTAGACATAGAGAGGAAGAAAAAGAGGAGAGAAGGAAGGAAAGAATGGAGGGAGAGCTAAAAGGGAGGGTGGTATTTTGTACTGAAAAGCTAAATTTCAATATAAAATTTTTTTTTCAAGTAAAAAAAAGAGAATCTTACATGAAAACGTCAAGGGCAGGTGGAAATCTTGCACTGTGAAGATCTTTCACATTAATTTTACTCTTTTAAACTGTTTGTCCCCTAACGCAGTCCGCCCATCATCAATATCCACTGACTGGATGCAAGTTCATTGTCAGCTCCCACAGCTGTGCTCAGTTTGAGGCTCTGCACCGTGGAAGTCCAAGAACTCAAACTAGCCGTCCCTCCCTGTTGACCTTGCTCTCCCGCACCAGATCACCCAGCCTTCGCCATAGTGGAGGGACCTTGTCTACTAACAAGCGTGTGTGGGAGATAAGGAAAGCGGCTCCTCCGTCTGTCACGGGGCCTCTCTTCTCCCATTTCCAAGGCTTTGCATCAGGACAACTGCTTCTTGGCACTGACTTCCTGGAGAACAAACCTGTTGGCCATAGCCCCTTCCTGTTTGCCAACATCTCACTCTGCGTTGAATATCTGTTGAATCGTTTATTCTTTCCACACTCTGAGGAGGAGGTTGCAGGCAAAGAGGAGGAGGGAGCCCCACACGCTTCCTGCCAGGCTGTGGGAGGAATTGTGGCCTTTCCTCCACGTACGTATGTACGTACGTAGCCTTATACAGGGCGCTCTTGACTCGTGGGCGCTCACCCTGCAGCACCCCCAGAGCTGCAGGGCGTGGCCTGGTAGCACAAAGCGAAATCGAGCAGGGGTTGCAAAAAGACTGCTAATTTAGCTCTTGAAGACTCACTGGGCCTTTTTAAAACAGTTACTAAGGCTTACAGGACCACACACGCCCTGTTGTCTGGTGGGAACAGCAGCTCGGGGCCCGTTAGCACAACTGAACAAAGAGCCTGACAGCCCTCGGTCACGCACATGGCGGTCGGTTCTGTAGCGGTGACAGGGCCCCCGGGGTGAGGCCCTCCCTATCCCCACTGTCTTTGGTGTCCATGTAGTTGGAGACAGAACATGAACCAAATCTCGTTTTTGTAACGTGAGCCTCTGAGTCTCTCAATGAGGATGTTCCAGGAGACCCTTTACTAGAATGTCCCGCGCAAACATGTCTATTTTTCTACAATTATTGATAACAGTTTAACGGTGTATTTTGTGTCAACTGTTAAAATTTGGAACGGAAAGCAGCTCATTAAGACTGAATTTTCTAAGCAGCAAGTACTGAATGGTGTTTTTCCATTAAGACAGTTCCATAAAGATGGCCCCACGATTTCCAGGCTCCACACTCCGTATCCAGACCCCCTTCCCTCAGCCACTTTGTTAGCAAACCAAGTGCGATGAAAATAAATAAGCCTATTTTAACGCAACAGCACCCATAAGGAATAAGAATCACTCTCGATTGGTATTGTGGTGTCTGGTTGGTGTATTGGGGTCTCTTTTCCATAAAACCATGGGGGGTCCATTCGCTGGAGAAGCACTTTGAGCCGAAGGTGGCCATTTGCTCCAGTTGACCCCCATCTGGAGAAAAGCGCGGATTCACCCCAGGGCGCTGAGACCCTCAGACTCTCACTCCCGCCCACCCCAGCGGCGTTCCCACTGACAGAGCCCTCTTCACCTGTGTCCGCTTCGTGTAGCTGCAGTTGTTTGTGTCTCGGGTGTCCCCTGGCAATGAGCACATCTGGGTAATGCCGGGTCATCGCTTTGCTGTTCCTTGGAAACCGGGCATCCCAGCCACTGGTCCAGGAGAAGGTGCCCTGTGCCCACCCCTCCTCCATCCGTCCCTCTCCTGTGCTCTTTCCTCCAGTCCCAGATCCGTTCCCGTAGTTCAGTCACTCGTGTTTCCTCTCCGAAATCAGCTACTGTCCCTGAAAGTGCCAACCTGTCTCTCAAGCACAATTTCCTCTTCCGGGTTTAACCAGGTGAGGGTGCTAAGGTCTGTTTTCCATTACATCCTAATTTCAAAATTACTTATGACTTCACATAAAGCCAAAATGTTGAAGTCTCCAAATGTCTTCCCTCCCTACACTTTCTTATATTTCGGTTTCTTGCTTTCCCCCCCCCCCCTTTGCTTTTTTTTAATTTAGATTTAAGCAGGTATCTTAGGGAGGTTCAGAAACTATTTGTAAAGATGGATAGAGAAGAAGGCTATAAAAATGCTGTTAGAAACTATACTTGAATTCGCTGCAAGAATGTGAAATCATTTGGTTAGTGAGCAATTCAAGATTTTTTATCCGTAGTCTTTTCCAAGACAGCTCGCCGTCAGTCTGACAAGTCTTCAGTCTTCCTTTCCTCGGCCTGGCTGGTACTCTGTGGGTCACAACAGGGCGGTTGGAAATGAAATGTCCTGCAGACACGGTAGACACTCTCTCCCAGGAGCTCCTTTCGGTGGATGGCTGTGAAGTCAGAAAACAGGCAACACAGACAATTCATTGATAATATTATCTTGTTTCTAGACTTTAGGGCCAACCTATACTTACGGACAGGTTACCCTTTAATTAAAATGGAGTAAAGCACGCCTCTTCCTACTCTCTCTGCCCCTGCTGTCCAGGGAGCTGCAGGCGCAGAGCGGCATCTGGAAGTAGAGCTCGCTCAGGCCACTAGAGACATTGATGAAGCACAGTGTGTACAGTAACAAGACGACATTATGCCCTACTGCGCGCCGTGTCTGAGCACTTACTCAAACTACCCCACTCCATTCTAACCCCTCGGGGAGCTGAGTGCTAGAATTTCCATGTTATAAATGGAAATCCAGGGGGTAGGCAAATCCAGGGGGTAGGCAAATCCCGGCCTGGCCCCGGGTCACAAGGCCTGCGAACCACAGGCCCTGGTCCAGTCCAGGTGCCGAGGTGTAAGCCCTGGCTCTTTTTACTACAAAAAGGGTCCGCAAAGCAGATCTGCTCCCAGCCCCTGGCCGCCGCCTGGCTCTAGAAGCCTTACAAGCTAGGAATGACTTGACATTTTTAAGTTGTTGGGGGGAAAGTAAACTAAAAAAGACTATTTTGTGACATGTGGAAAGTATATGAAATTCTCATTTCAGTGTCACAAATAAAGTTTTATTGGAACACGAGCACCCTATCCGTTATTATTGCTCCCACACGCTAGCAGAGATGAGGTCATGTGGCCAGAGGCTACAATATTGAGAATCTGGCCCTTTACAGGGAAAGTTTGCTGGCCCCAGTACATACTACTAAATGCTGTTCAAAACCGTAACTACTATTAGTTAGTAAGCATTATACTGCAGTATTAAGAGATGCCAGGACAACTTAGAACAATACGCTCTCTCCCAGGATAAATCTGTACGCCACCCATAGGTCTGTTCAAAGAGGAAAAATACACGTTTTGGTCAGCGGCCAACTGCTTCACAGGACTGTGGTAGCCCAGTCATAAGTCAGGTCTCAAAGAAAGACTTCTTCCTTCCGGAACCCGCCCCCCAGAGTGGTGAGCAGCGGGACAGCCAGCCGTGACCCAGCGGCCAACTCAGAGAGTGAGGCGGGAGCACTTCCCATCACTGAACAGCACAGAAATGGTGGTTCCCAGGCAGGGGCTGGGCTAGAGCTTCGCTGGGACCCACAGACACTTTACTATGTAGTTGGGCCTCAGTGGGGTGAGCTGGGCTTGCAGGGGAGCGTGCAGCCCCAGCTGCCCCGCTCATCCCAGCCCTTTTCCCCCGCCCCCATCCCAGCCCTCTCTCCCCTGCTCTCTGGCAGGAGGACTGCACTCATCTCTGAGCTGTCACTGGGTCCCCCCTCTCTCCCACCACCCCACCACTCCCGCCTGCAGTGACCACATGATAGATGAACCCTGAGCTACTGTTGGGGTTACATGCACTAGTCTGACCCCCTCCAGTAGCTCAGCGAAAAGCTTAACATGCAAATAAGGACATACATGCTTCTCTTGGAAAACCAACAGGTTCTTTGGAAAGAGCCGCAGGGGAAGCGAGAGTAGGAAAGGGTGGTTACTGGGCTGCCCGCTGCTTTCTGAGGCTGGGGCAGCAGAGATGGGTGATGACGGAAGTGGTGGATGGAAGGGGCCCGGACAGTGGGGCTTCACGATGAGTCAAGAGGAAATGCGCCCTTCAGTGTCACTGAGCTGAGCCTCCGGGCTTCTAAGAAGCATTTCCAAAGCCAAAGGGTCGGCCAAGCCCAGTGGTTCCCTCTTCAGTTCTACTGAAAACGACATCGAGTTTCCTCATAACCGCTCCCCTAGAAATGACGTGAGAGAGGAAATATTTGTAACAAATCACTGAGAGGTTGTATTGCCAAGAGATACATGATGGAAGTTGAGGTGGACTCGCTCCTGGGTCAGAAACTAGGGAAGGCCGTCTGCAACACGGATCATGCGAAAGGTTCGCAGCCCTGCAGCGGCATGGAGCCCACGGTAACTCAGTGGGAGGGGAAACTCTCCAAGTTCGCCACCATAAAAGCCAAATAAATGCAAAAGGAGTTAAACTTTTACTTGGCCTCACTGCCTTGGTAAAAGGAAGCTTCCGGCATCCACCTAGTTCAGAGTCCTGGGTGAGGGGGACAAAATACTTCAAGACACCAGATGGGTTCACTGAGGTCCCAACGTGACTAAGTGATGGAGACCGATCACCAGTGAACATGGGACTTGCAGACTTATTTTTAGACGCTCCCCACCCCTCCCCACAGGCCCGAACCCTAATGTGCCCTGTGGCTGGCCAGAGAAGTGTGACCACATAGGCCACAGGTCTTGATTTCAGAGAATGACATGTTTCTACTGACAGATGAAACGGAGCATTTTCAGAATGAAGCCCTGTGCTCACACTGGGCGTGAAGACTGTGCTGTCACCCAGCCCTCTCTATAAGCATAGGAAGGGCTGTAAGTAGCGGACACTGGGGAAAGAGATGTGGAACTCATCATCATTTCTAAGAAATCATAAAACATCCGTCCAAAGAAGCAAGATAGCCCAGGAGCCTAAGATCAGACCTCGGTCACCACTGACACCCCAGACCTGGCTGACGGCTCCACGGAGAATGTCAATGTGGGGTGTCTCACCGCCACACACACAGCCACCCGCTGTGCGTGAGCAGGGCCTCCGGTCCTGGGCCAGCATTGTCAGAGGGGGAGGGGGAGCGCTGTTCTCAGGTCTGCCCAGCAGGTGCCGTTCTGGCATCAGCTCTGGCACAGCTGCCCGTGAGACGGGGAAGGAACAATGCCCTCCCTTGGCTCAGCCTTGGGTAGTCCAGAAGCTTGGCCATGCCCACCTCTCTGGGTGAGCCTCTTCTTCCAAGCCTGGTCCCTGCCCATCTAAACAATGACATCCCCCTGCCCTCCCCCCCCCCCCCCCCAGAAATGTCTTCCGGGAACCCTGTGTCTTTGAAGCTGACCTTGGCCAGCACTCTTGACCCCACAGAACACCCACCTGGGTCAGGGAGACACCTCGCCCTACAGGAACTAGTGTAGACCCTTTGAGTCCCCTGTGCACACTAAGTTAAAGCCCAACAACACTGATGCATAAATGAAGTATAAGGAAGTCCAAAAAAGGTCTCATTTTCCCATGGTGATTGCTGTAGCCTTTTATTCCCCTTCGCAAGTCGCATTCTTGAAACTCTAGGAATTGTCACTTTGGCGCATCATGACGCCCTGCGCACAAATTCAGTTGGCTCATCCGACAACCCCAGCCGTCTCCCCAGACGGTCTGATCCTGCTCCCTCCTTTTAAGAACGGGGGCTGGGTCTGTTCAAACCCACCCCACCACCAAAACAAGTGCCGCCCTGGGCAAGCAATGGTGCACCCCTCCCTTTCCTCTGGCAGTCACCCAACGGGGACAGCAAGGCCAAGTCTTTCCTGATTTGCAAGGAACCCTGGGTGGCCACACTTAGAGATGCAGCTGGTTGTGTCTCCAGGAGCCCACCACTCCAGCCCACTGCAGGTTGTCCTCCAAGCATGCCCAGCGCCTCTTTCTGAACCCCCTCCCTCTGCTCACCACCAGGAGTTGCCTTTCCTTCTTCTGAGTGCCCATGCCATCCTTGAGCAGCAGCCAAGAACCTGTTCCTGGGGCTACTCCTATCTCTTGCCGTTTCTTGTCCACCCCCAGTTTTAATTGGGCATGTACTATGCTCACAGTCTGACCACCTGAGATCAAAAATGTAAAAGAGTTTGTACCTGCCCCAGAGATACCCGGAGAGCCCACAGGTGATGGTTGGGCATTATGATGCCAGCCCATAGCTCAGCAGAGGGTAAGGGAGGTCTTGTGCCAAAGGCTAGCTGGACTTCTGAAGAGGAATCTTCTTGTCCCTTGAAACATCTGAGTAGGCAGGGGCTTGCCAAAGATGGCCCCGAGTATCTTTCTTCATCCCAGGGGTCCGTATCTAAGACGAGAGCCACCAGGGACAATGGTAAGCGCTCACACCTTCCAGGGTTCCAAATGATGACAAATCCCTGCCTGTGTTGGCAAAGTGGTCTCCCCCACTCCCCTCCCCCCGCCTCCCCCTGTCTGCACGGACTGTGCTCCAGGGAGAAATCCTAGCACCCATGTGGTGCCTGGCTACGCAGGACCTGCAAGGCTGCTGCCGTGGCAACCTGGAGCCTGTCAGCCTGGACCCCTCCATGGGGTCTGAGGACTGGCAGAGGCCCGCTCCACCTGCAGACCTGGGGAAGCCAAGGTGATGTGGGCAGTGCCCAGGCAAGCAGGTACTTACTCAGCATGCCACGTGCGGGATGTTCCTGCCCTTTCTTCCTAGGAGGGCATGTCCTTAGGTGGCCAGACTGCTCCTAAAAAAACCTATTCTTTATTTCCACACCCAAATCATATTCATCTTTTTAAAAAGATCCCAAAACTAAATTCACATAATCTGATCTAACGTATGTCCATAGAGCTGCCCGTATTAATCATTCAACTCTGCCTAAAAGATTAAAATGGGCCCCCAAATATAGTTACACAATATTCCAACAATAAGCCTAACTACAAACCAAAGCGATTTAAAATGTTTACTTACAAATTATTTTTTTAAACCTGATTTCATTGTTTGATTCTTATACGTGCCCTGACCAGGGATCAAAGGCCCAACCTCGGTGTATCTGTAGGAGGGTCTAACCCACTGAGCCACCCGGTCAAGGCTGTGGCGACCTCTCGCCGGCCGCTGTGAACAGCCCGATCAGCAGGTTGTTGGCAACTCCTTTTCACCTGAATCCAGCGCTACCTTCCCTGAAGCAAACACCCAGGACCCAAGCAACAAAAAGTAATACTCAACCAAGCAGAACAGAGCTAGGGAGGCAAAAACCGTAAACCTTCGTAATATTTTAATTCAACTGATTTTTTTCAGCCATATCCCTCTTTCCCACTAATAATTGAAAGACAATTCATCGTATTTTTCCTAATAAACTAGCACAACGCTAAGGCTGAAATATTTACTACGGACCATAAAATATG